GATGGATCCTCTGTATCTACTAACCCGGTAAATCGCTTTTCGTCGTCTCAATTTCTTTAACAACACCTATGATGCGAGAACGTAGTTAGTATGACTTCCCTGACAGTGGCTGTATACACATAGCCATGTAAGTGTATTTCAAGAGAGAGAGAGAAAGAAAGAGAGACGACTCTCCCTCACTCTCAGCCGTACTATGGCTGAATAACACTTTTACTCAGTTCTCTCCATTCATAGATACTACATCATTTTGCGCTGATTATCTCATATTTAAAATGATTAACATGTTACTTTATAACAGTTATCAAAGTGATTACATTCAATCAAAAACTCTATAAATTAACAACATAGTAACTATACACCTAATTTCAAATGTAACAGTAATGTCATTAAATACTTGTTACATAATGAATGTTTCTATGAAGTATGTAATCATCATAAGACTTATTCAATAAAAAAAGATGATGTAATTCATTGCAAGCAATCTTAAATACTTTTGTCTACCTACCGCTTAATATTACAAATATTGTAGCAAAACTTGATTTACATGTACACATTAAAACTATAGGTAATTTGGTGAAAGGAATTTCACTTTAATCTTAATCATAAAGTTAGTTAATTAGTTACAAACAGTGTAGAACCTTGTATAGATGTATATTGATCTGGAATAAGTCAGTTTGCTTCAGATAAACGGAATAAAAAAATCTGTTTGGGAGAAAAAACTGAACGATTTATTGCAAGATACTTTGTTGATTTTATAGTGAAACACGTGAGTACTTAATTACTTGCTTACTTACGCCTATCAATCCTCGTGAAAGAGCATAGACCGCTCACCAGTATTCTCTATCCAACTTTATCCTGGGCAATACTTTCCACTAGTTTCTAGTTGGTATTCATTTTTTTCATATCTGCTCCTATTTCCCGACGTAATTGTGTTGTTCGGCTTTCCACATTTCTGATTCCCTTCAGGGTTCCAAGTTAGGGCTTGTCTCGTGATGCAGTCTGATAATTTCCGTAATGTATGTCCTATCCATTTCCATCGTCTTTTCCTGATTTCCTCTTCATCTGGAAGCTGGTTTTTTCTCGCTCACAGTAGGCTGTTGCTGATGGTATCCGGCCACTGAATAATGAGTATTTTACGTAGACAACTATTTATAAATACTTGTACCTTCATAGTGGTGGTTGTTGAATATCTCCACGTTTTAGGTCCGTACATTGGTACTGTGTTGACGTTCGTATTGAAGATTCTGACCTTGATATTAGTTGAAAGTTGTTTCGAGTTGCATATATTCTTCAATTGAAGGAATGCTGTTGTTGCTTTGCCAATCCTCGCCTTTACGTTTGCATCTGAACCTCTTTGATTATCGATGATGCTTCCCAGATATGTGAAGGATTCTACATCTTCCAGAGTTTCGTCATCAGATATGATTGGATTGCTGTTTTCTGTGTTGTATTTGAGGACCTTGGTTTTCCGATTGTGTATGTTGACGCCTACTGATGCCGAAACTGCTGCCACAATGGCTGTCTTTATCTGCATTTGTTCGTGTGTATTGGATAGGAGGGATAGGTCATCTGAAAAGTCCGAATCTTCTAATTGGTTCTGAAATGTCCATTGTATGCCGTGTTTTCCCTCAGATGTCGAGGTCTTCATAATCCAGTCGACCACCAAAAGAAAGAGGGCAGGAGAGAGTAGATAGGCTTGTTTGACTCCGGTTCTTTCTTGCAATGCGTCTATCAGCTGTCCTCCATGCACTACTTTGCATTGTAGTCCATCGTATGAGTTCTGGATAATGCTCACAATCTTTTCAGGAACTCCGTAGTGTCGAAGAAGTTTCCATGACGTTCTCCTATCTACACTGTCAAATGCCTTTTCATAATCAATGAAGTTAACGTACAGTGAAGAGTTCCACTCAATTGATTGTTCGACGATGATTCGTACTGGCGCAATTCGGTGTGTACACGACTGATCCTTACGGAATCCAGCTTGTTGATCTCAAAGTTGGGTGTCTACTGAGTCTTTCATCCGATTCAGCAACATGTGAGTACTTACACTAAACTATGTTGGCAACTAGGAAGTCTTTATCAATGATATTGAAGAATCACCGTGCTGTTTTCAAAGTTCAGTTAACTTAATTTAGATATGGAAAGTATGTGAGATCAACCGATTGCTTGAAAAGTACGTTCAAAGTGAGACCTGGAGGTCTTCAGCTCAATCCCTGATGGTATCAAGGGTTCACACTGTTGAGGAATTCCATATCGGAACAAAACACTTGTTCAGTACTCTGAAATCTCAATGATTATTCAAATGATATTAGTTCGATTGCGACACCATGACTGATGTATTTCTACTATAGTTCACACTGGTCAGTATCTATCGAATTTGAGACTAATGATTTCACAGGTTTTCTGTCGATTATAACATAGAATCTCTAAGTTGTATTTCAGCACCCTTCGAAACTTCAAATATCTCAGCTGAAGTAGTGGTGACACATGGAGCCTACAAACATCGTGCTTTTTAAGTTTAACCAACTGTATCATGTTTCAACAAAAGTCGATTTAGTAAATACACAAACCGAGCCAATATTAGACGTGTACAACCGAATTTGGAAGGTCTTATTATTATCATCCGATAGTGGATTCACTATCCGAATGGTTGATGAACTGAATTAAGAGAAATTACAATCGATGTACAAGCATTTGGGGATGAGAAAGTTGTGTACGGAACTCATACAATATCCTAAAAGCTTTCAGCTTTAATGAGTCATTATGACCATACCACCCAGTTAGGTTTATGAGAACTTCTGAAGACGCTTTATACACTGCCAATGGAGATAGAAGTGCTTTATGTCAGGAATGGAAAGTATTCCAAGATAGAATTTTTAAGACAAGACTGATAAAATGACTTCAATTCTTTTGAACATAAAGCGGACTACATAGATGGCAAGTTAAAAAGCAGAAGAGCATTTGGAGACTGTATTCGCTAAATACATTTGATGCAGGTTGGTTGAGGGAAATTAAGAAAATTCAGCTTTCACTAACAATAGTGATTGCGTGAGAGCATTGAAAATAGGGTAAACAAAGATATCGAACATTTAATATTTTATTTAACAAGTATATTGTTAGGCTGTATCTCAAAAAGCATGACGAAGCCTCCAAAGCAGACGCAAAGATCTTATTCATTCGGAATCTTCTAGATTATCAACGTGGCATGGTATCATTGGACAATTGTATAACTTCCTACTTGCAGATTGACTGGATTATAATGATATTATGATCTGTACTAAGAACTATACATACTCCTTTTTCAACACACTTTCGCTTTCCTGTCTTTTGATTTGCGACTATGAGGTTTTACGTGTTCGAGTGCCGATCGTTGTATACTGTATTGACCGTGACAAAGTAGTGGACGTAACACATGTAAACGATTTTAAATGATAAACAAAGTCTGTTAGTACAATCTAAGTCTCAACAGACTATCGATACTAATGTTTCTAATTCCTAAGTATGCTCATATAAAACGTTCTGTCTGATTAGACAGAAAAACAACTAATTGGTAGAACTTTAATATGAGTTTCTGATGTCTACCAAAATTTCGTAGAAGACAACTTTAAATTATGTACACGGTTTTAAACAACCTGTACCTGATAACACATTGGCCAACAACCATCAGCGAGCAAAGATTTAACAGTTAAACATTAATTTCTACAGGTCGAAATGGCTTTAATGGTTGAAAAACTTATTGAGATTTTGAACTGATTGATGTTACAAGGCCGCTCCATCCTATTGTGGGACTACTACTCAGCAGTGAGCATCCACGATAGTGCTAGCGGGATTCGAACCCAGGGTCTTCAATCTCACACCGTCCAGTGCTTTCAGGTTTTCAATTGTGGTCTAACATCAGTCGGTTCAAGATCTCAATCAATACCTTAATAATCTCCATAACCCTATACTGAGAAACCTAATGTTAATTCTAATCAATAAATTTCGGAACACAGTTAGTGTTACTATCATTCACATATGCGCAGTTTTAAAGTGCAGTAATCTAGACATGTACTTCACTAATGAATTATATTAGAATAAATATACGATAAAAAGAACTTATTGAATGATCCAAAGCATTTTGGTGATATATCAATACAGTTTCTCTCATTTATTAGATAATAGCTAGCATAATCAGTAAGAAAACAGCCCTCTTGAAAACAATATATACAAGTACTTTTCTTTATTATTTAGTTCACTACATGATCGAATGGAAAAGGACACTAGAATGTGTAGATCACTTAGACATAATCACAGTCGGTTTACATATATATATATAAGATGTTCGAACAAACCAAAATGATACGCTTGAATCTTCTATAAATAGAATTGCTGAATGATTATAAGAAGTCCAGCTACTTCGAACATATCAGGGACCAAGTATATACACTTATGAAGTAACGTTACTCAATCGTATTTGAACCGGGGGTTTTCTGTTGTTGTTGGTGGTGGTGTAAATACATATTTATCTTATTTATTTGAACACATAAATATTGATACAAGAGGGCACCAAATATATATGCGCCACACACATTTTCATTTTATTTGTGTGTGGGCTGTGATACTACCCGGGTGCCCAGACCGAAGCAGGTGGTTTTCTTAGGAAGCCACATCCCGAGCCTTTGACCTAAAGGTCTAACCCACAAGGCAGTGGAGCGTCGTGAGGAGGTGTAGTACCATGGAAGCCGGTGACCAACGATTGGTTCATACGCCATTTATTCCTACAGGATACTGGAGCCCATGTGCACCATTGATTTGCGATCCAGTTGTAGCGCCGGACGTTCGCTTTTCGTCCTCTCATTTTCGTAAACAACACCTCCGCCAAGAGAAGGCAGTGAGTAGGACTTCCCTGGCAGAGGCTGTATACGCGTGGCCGTGTGAGAGCATTTCAAGAGGGAGGGCGGGACCACCCCACTCTCGGCCATACCAGGTTATTCGGGGGCTGGTGTAAATACAAAAACAGATTAAGACATAAAACAACAAATTTTCTTTTCAACTTGTATCATAACAATACAACTTACCATAACGTTACAAGATCACATATAATGTTATAGAAAAAAGAAGGCATTAATATTCTTTGGTTAATATCTAAGGTTCAGAATTTTCAAGGCACAATGACCGATCCATAAAAAAACTGATTAATCAACAAGGATAAATTGTTCACATGGAGATAAATGATCAATTCATAAGAATTTGTCACTTGTTTGTTGGTTTATTAGTTTACCACAAAACAAAACATAACATGGTCATATTCAAAGAGATTTTTAAAAAAAAAAAATGAAAAGATAAAAATACATCAAACCGATTGAGAGAGATTACAAATTCAGGCGCAAGAGAGATCAGTTACACACAGTACAAAAAAAAAAAAAATAGTCTGATGTAATTGTTGATTTTTTGTAATTTTACATAAATATAGTATTATTCATAATCTGATATAGTTAAAGAAAGAAAATTTATCCAACACATGTTGAACATAATCGTTTCACTGCATCCCTGTAAATAAGATAATAATGAGATATGGTTAAGCTATTAGTAAAACTTGATAGATTTCTTATGAAACACAATAACAGATATACACATAAACATATTAACTTATGCAACAAAAGACTATCATAGGTTAGGTGATAAAAGTTAAAATATAATCAAGTGAATAGAATAATCCACAGAATGTCGTATGTTGTAAAGATTAGTTGGAAGAGAGTTTTTCTAAAAAAAAAAAACGTGCTGCTTTGGTAATCCTACTTCTTCACTAGACCACTGAGCCGGCATCCAATGGTGTTAATATTTAACTTCAAATTGAGTGACACATCCACCATTGTCATTAGTGAGTTACTACCTGGTTGAGCTGCACTGGTCACTGCTTCTCACTAAAACTCCAGGATATACATCTTGAAGCCAGTCACTAATAAGCATATGTCGATTAGTATCAGAAGGGGATTTTGTGGATATTATAATAATTTCAATAATTAAGATCATCAGTCAACTGAAGCTAGACCACCATGGATAACCTGGAAGCACTGGATGGCCGTTTCGTCCTATTGTGGGACTCCTCAGCAGTGCTCGTGGGATTCCAACCCAGGGGCTCCAGTCTCGCTTGCGAACGTTTAAACTCTAGACCACTGAGTAGGCATCCAACGATGTTAATGTCTAACCTCAACCAATCCACAAAATCGCTCGACGATCTTCCATTGTACTGAGGTAAATACCTGAATCTACCCGATACGGATTAGCTTCACTGGTCACGGCTTCTACCTAGAACTCCGAGAATTCCCTTGCTCATTTGGAATATAGAGATCAATTGTATTCAAGGGACTTTAAGCCAACTTGTTTGATTGGTACTAATACTAAACGGCCAGTTAAACCGAAGTTTATGGAGTGCACCATGAGAATAATACTTATCAATTGAAAGATGGAGTATCTATAAGTCATCGCTCTATGAAAACTTATTGAACCACACAGGTTAACATACATCAGTGAGTTAAATATAATTAATACAGAGACGCACAACTGTGTCATCCAAAGTTGGCATAGAATACAAGCGCAACAATATTAGTATATCTGATAATATAGAATACTAGTGTTTGACCTACCTCAAAAATAAAGATAGATATCTTATCTTTCCTTAGAACCTAGCTAATCAAAAACCTACAGTGAATTTAAAAGTCATAAACCCAGACAGTATTACCTTTTAAGATGAAATTGGAAAACTGTCATAACTAAAGCTACTACAAATGCTTTAACAGATTAGTGATGAGTAATCAAAAAACTCTGTGTTTTTAGCGCGATTTTATTTAAACAGATATTGGTATATAGGGCCACCATAATATACATGCGCCACACAATGAAAATGGGATCGTTAACAGACAGAGAAACGAGGGTTAGTTTAACAAGAATAAAACCAACAAAATTGAATGGAAATGAATGCGTGAGAGTGAAATGACATTAGTAATAATTGGAGAAGCAGTTCAGTTAGAAAAAACTACAACCAGAAAGGATTCTTTCAGATAAAGAAGTTACTCTCACTTTTATAAAGTAAAAGAAAGTTACAGAAGAATCGTCACTGACTTCTATTTTGAGCCATTTCTGTTAACGTTTCTACAGCCATTGTGCTATACTATCTCTAGGTTTCCAACCAGGAAGTCATAAAGAACCGACAGATAACAGTGCTGTACAGCTTCCTTCCATACTTAGCACTGTCATACACTGGCTACCTCCATTTTTTCAACCAGTCCCAGCGTCGGCAAATAATAGACGATATAAAATTCGCTGGGACGACATTCATAGTACATGTCCAAGCAACAGAAGTCGGTGTTTCAAACTGGTGACAACAATTGGATTATCGTCACTGTGTCCGAACACACGTTGCCAAACTTTCGTATAGCCAACATAATGTTACCACTGAATGTCAGCAATCCTTCGGAAACAACGATGATCAAACAAAGAGTCGCTTAACATCCTCAACTCGTAGAGGCTAGGTTACACGAACATTGTAAAACACTTTGTATATGCTTTTAGCACAATTAAGTACAAGTGTAGTTAAAATTTATGGCACTTTTGTGTCTCATTTTTGTTTAAAACAATCTTATTGAATATAAATGAACATTAAAAACGTGAATAAATGGTTGAGCAGACGAGTTAAATTTGGATAGTGTGATAAGAGAAAGATTATCAGAACTATGTGACATAATAGCTCAATACATTTCGGACGATGTGCTCATACATAAAGTTGTTAAAAACATTTGTTTATGAGAAATCAGGTCAATTAAACAAATAGAATGTAAGAAAAAACGAAAATAGTGTGAAACTTGCCACGCTGGATAACAAACTAATGTTACTAGGGTAGGTTTAAGGTGAAAACAAACTGTTTCTGAATAAACAGAGAGGTTTGAAATTTCGTATGGACAAGGCTTCAATATACCGTGGTATGCACCATTTAACACTTGTACGATACCACAAAAGCCGAGTTAAAATCAACCTTATGACCTGTTTTAACTATATATTTGGCAATAGGTTATGAGATCGTTTTCTCCTATATTCCATTTGTCTAGTTAACCTTATATTTTTATACATAAATGTTCTTAACATGTGCGATCAAATTGTTCGAAATGCATTGCGCTAACACTTCACATAGTTGTGATAATCTTCGTCTTCCTTTTACATTATCCAAGTGAGTCAAAGACTCACCATTAACAAGTTGGACAGATAGAATTTCACTGCTACAGGCTAATACTCGTAAATTTACCGGAGAAAATGTCTGTACTTAAGTATCAAATATAACTGTAGAAATGAATGGTTAATAAACTACATCAGTTGGATTAATTTTTGTGGTTACAATAAGATTTCTGTTTCTTCTTGTGAACTTCAACTCTTAATAATGGAAACTAGTAGGACAGAATTGTATTCAGCTCCTAAACTTTAGTTAATATAATAACTAATCTTATGATAAGATTTTGGGTCACTGAGCTTAAAGACCTATGCAATTAACTAGTCACTTCCTGCTGACTGCGCCCTTGGTGCAAGAATCAAGCTAGTTATGACTTTTAAGTAATAACAGACAAGAAATTGAGCTCTACTCCATATTTATCTTGATATGAATCTCGTAACACTAGTAAGATTTTGATCGATAAAATCTAGTTTACAAACTTTTATTACCGATCTTGTCGAATAATTGGTATCTAAACTTTAAACATAATATAAAGAGTAGAAATGGTTCAGGAAAATTTAGTTATCACAATATTAAAATCGAATACCAAGTGCAGGTGTGTTCAAAAGTTGCAGTCACAAATGTAGTATCAAGTTTGATGTATACTATTTGTTCCATAAGTAATGATGTAGTTTGGATGAGATAATGTTACGACTCTTTAGTATTCACCTTAAGTACTTGAAGTTCACTACTAAATATTTACGAAACTAAGGATTATTCGACATTCAAAATGACATACTGATTGCTTTGTGCTTGTACCAGTTCATTTAAGCACCAATAAACAATGACTCTTGAAAACTAAGGAACAAGAAAATGTTATTACCACTACAGGTAGCCTTTATTCAGTTTAATTCATCATCATTTTCATTTCTGAATCCTTACTTACAAAATGGTTTGTGCATGCCACTTATGCCAGGAATGAACATTTTTGTTTAACACTATTTGTGGTTAGTATTAATAAAGACAAGACTAAGTATCCACGTAACTTAAGGTGCTTTTAGGCACGCTTTAGAAGCAGCGAAGTAGATATGAATTATAAAACACGTTCATTTGCAGTGTGTCAAATAATATATTTATCAAATTACATATTACGTGGACGGATGTAGTCGTTAAGCAACTCTGGAACTAGGTTTTGTGCTAGTTAGCACTCATTAGCAAGATTTACCCGGAATCTTGAGTGGATTGATGGATCTAATAGGATTTGTATTCATCTTAGCTAGTAGCACATTCTGAGATTACTGACAAGCTTTTTGGGATATGAATGGTCCGTAGGATTGAGATTATTCAATTTATCACTTAGCGATTAAAACTAATTTCATGCTTATACGAATATTCGTAACAATTAGAACGAATAGTTTGACAGATAATTTCATGTTTATTTGGATCTGAATGCCGACCAAATGTCGATTGAACCAAAATGTGATCGTAAGTCCAAGTGCATCGATATTTTTTAGTTCCCAAGCACTTGCACATACCCTTGTCAACGAATACCAACTACCAAACTGACTAGGATTAATTTAGGCGTGGCTAGATTACCACCAAGTAGATATTATCAAATGCCTAGACCCGTACCGAAACGACAAGGAGCGAGCTCAATGAATTCAATCGGTTTATGCAAGCTTGTGACAAAGATACTGGAGGTTAACTATTTTAACAAAGATATTCCAGATTGCAAATCTAACCACAAAGGAAATGTTGATGGGGAAATTGAAAAATCAACTTGGCTAAGACATCAATTATTTGAGATTACATCAACTTAAACACACTAATATGATCAAAAACATGACCGAAATATTGGACAAATAATTAATGGAATTACCTAGCATAAGGGATGTACGAGAGTGAATACCATGTCAGCGCCAACGATTGGAGAATGCAAAATATTAAGCAGAGTAGACGAAGTCCCTACATATGTTGAACATTATTACAAATAATATTTACCAGTAGTGCAAAAACGATTGTGAGAACCAAACATACCTGAATTATTCGTACGTAAAAAATGGTAAAAAAGTGATCTTACCAGCATGACTACTGCTGCAAAAATTCTAGTCTCCTGAAACATACGCTTTAACTGATTTACGGGTCCCATAAGGAAAATCGTGCTAGTAGAACTTCAAGAATACATAATACTGATTACCTTCCCAAAGAACATATATTACCAAGCGTATAAAACAGTGCAAAGAGTGTGATACCTGCTCCAGGTAGCCACAAACATAAGGATCCCTAGATCGTAAGCAAGAATATGTTGTTTTTACCAATAGTGACATCACGATACCCACTACTAAACATATGATAAACGCTTTTATACGTGTACTCCAGCTCAAAGAACAACCATTTTCGACCTAAGAAGTCGTAAAACTTTCTTCATGCATACGTCTGTTAATATTCCTTGTTCATCATCATCTCGTGTAAACCACTGCTTTAATTTATTCATTGGAACAGCTGTGGAGATGAACAATCAAATATCCGCCAGTCACCAGCATACAATGTGCTTATCTCAATATCCAATATTTTCATGCAAGCTTGCACAAACCACTTGGCTTTTCGTTGTTTCAGTATGGACATATAACCTTTGGTCTGAGAACTTATGTTCTATTGACATAGTAGGCCTTCTGCAACCAGCAGCTATCATATAACTAGGAAGAAAGCGGGTTGGTCACTGTTTGAAATATAAAGAAAAAATCGTTAGCTAGAAGTTGATTGTTTCAAGAAATGAATAAATAAATACGAAAACTGTTGAGCTAGCGATTCATTGAGTGCGAAAAGATAGAGAGGAAGGAATAAAGAGGTGACGGAAATGATAGGATGTGAGATAGGTATAATTTAATTATATGTGATAATCATAGTTGTGAAACATGAATCACGTGCATATAGCTTGAGTGAGATATGGCAACTTCTTAGTGAGTGGGCATTCGTTATGTCCTGATTGAAACTATTTTCTGATAGAGTTTCGTTCACTTCCCTTGGGAGAGCATTCAGTACGCTTGCGGTTATTAGTAAGAATTAGTGAGGGTGCACCTGGCTTTTTGTTGTACGGCTTCAAAGAGGTTGCCTGTATGACGCGATGGTGAAGTCACGGTTAAATATCAGTTTCGGAGTGGCTTGGGGTACTTAGTAGGCTATGTACCATTGTCAGACAGCTATTGCTCACCATAAACAATTTAAGCTGTTGGAGTGTCTTAGGCTCATCACCCGCTTAGTTTACTGTTACTGCACTTTAAGAGATTTATGTCACTTTTGAAGAGGGGCGGTGCAAAAATCTAGATTTCTGAATGAGATATCAGTACAGTTTAAATGGTGTCAAAAGAAACTCATGAGTGATCACGTGAAGTTCTCTTCGAACAAAACTGAGAGATAACCCGCTTTGGCATTATCCTCGATGTTAGGCTGTTGAATAAGCCTTCTGTGGTCGACAGTCTTAAATCACATCCTGTAAGATAACAGCTCATTTTAGCAGGTAAAATATTAACACATTGACTACTGCCCATTTCTCTGTTATTATGAGGACCTTTTCCATATCCTGTCATCATTAGAATATGTGACGGTTGGTGGATCAATTTTGTCTTTGAGATCGCTAACAGAAATCAAGAAAAGTTGTGGTCCTGGAATGGTTCCTTGTTTGACCCTTGAAGTCGCGACCCTCTAGCTTGCGAGGACTTCATGTACCTAAGCGCAAAATATTCTGACCTTCAGGTAGGTTTGGATACAGGATAGGCATGGGTGTAAAGCGACTGATCTGTAGCAGACTGGGTCTTTCCTGTATCCTGCTCTGAAAACTGAATGAAGTAGCCTGCTTCCATCATTTTTGAAGTTGTTATGAATCTAGTGGGTGCCTGAATAAGACATTTACTGGTGTATTGTTGGCTTCGATTCACTGTTGCAGGATTACTGAGGGAATGTTATCGCGTATCGGTAACTCTCTTAGGCACAGTGACTTTAACTTCCTTATGCTAATCAGAGAGATTGGCATATGTTTTTCACGTCGTTAAATGTCTCTAGAGTCTAAGGGTACTATGCACTTATAGGTTATTGGTTCAATTAATCAGAAAAGTTGAGATTAGAGATCTCTGCCATCCCTAATTTGGAAAGATCTCCATCCGCCTATTTCGGAGCATAGATACCATGGTTTGTGGGCTTTTGTTTAGTCGTGAATCTGCGAACGTATTTTTGGTTAGCTTGTATTTTGCCTGTCAGCTTGTTCTGGAAATATATCTGTTGCCTCAAACTTTGACGTTACACCGATTTCCCGATCCTAAGTAAGAGCAACGTTCAGAATTGTTTTCGGAAACTTTCCATCTGCATATGCTCTCCTGTATGTCCGTAGTAGCTTTGGTGACTCATTTGAGGAGTTTCTTCTTCGCAAGTGTTTTTTTCTTTGATGTGCATTGTTCAGGATAGCTTCCTGAATAATATTGCTCACCATCTCCCGGTGGTCACCTACTGTTAGACTTCGTCACTCTAGTGACCACGGGGTGATTTAAACACGTAGATTCTACTTTATTAGAAAATTAATCACCCTATGTTCATATCATTTTCAAATGGGTTGCAAACAAATACTTGGCTTTCTTTAAATATTTTCAGGTGTTAAAGGGAGAAGTTAAACAACATGAAAGTTTAATACAGCTTCTGAGCATTGAGCGGATTAATGTAAAATCATGGAATAGAGTATGAGAAATGAAAGATATTGCTGTTACAAATGCTAAAGAGATGTAATTGCAGTAATACACAATTTGAATGTCACAAATTAATGTAAATGTTAAAAATATTACACAACGAATACATATTATACGCCACGTGCTCAAAAGTTGTTTGCAACGAGAATGGTTACTAAATAATAGTAAGTAGTATAAGATAATACAGAAAAGATTGAGAAAGTAAACTTGTTGAACAAACTGTTTTGGGCCACATCAGTGTACATCCATAAATTTACTTCGTTCTAAAGTAAACCATTTGATATGAATGAATAGTCAGTTGTATACTGGTCTTTGAATTTCACTAACCAGAACGATAATTGTTTAAGTAAAGGTCTTCCTCCATATATATATATATATATATATATATATATATATATATATATATATATATATATATATATATATTAGTTGGAGATAATTTGACAATATATGGACGCCATTGCAAGTCTGATTCCACAGCTATTGAGTTATGAGATCATTCAGCTTGGGTTTTCGTAAAGTATAGTTAAAATTTAGATTATTGTACAAACAAATCAACAAAGGAGATTTGACATTTAGTCATTGAATGGTAATAAAACCAGAAGTTGAATGGATACTACTAATATAAATTTGAGTAAACTCTTAAATTTAATCGTAAAAACGAGTTTTCATTAGGTTTGTACAATTTTCAGAATGTAAGGTAACAATTGATGACAAAGTAATTTGAATCCGGCAACTTAAGTCATGTTTGTATAAATAAAAAATGAAAGACAAAATGATTGACGACAATCAGAAGGCAGTTTAAAAAGTAACATGTTGAAGGGATTTTCAATTTAGAGTTTTAGTTCAATTTAGTATGGATTAGAAGGCTACAATTTATGGTTTCATATTCTCAGTGAAATCAAATATCTAAACAGAACCTCTAATAAAGTATGAGCGTTTGCGCACGAGACTGGAAGCCCTGGGTTCGAATCTCACTAGCGGGGCCGTGAATATACACCGCTGAGGAGTCCCACAACAGGACGAAACGGCTGTCCAGTGCTTCTAGGTTTTCAATGGTGGTCTAACATCAATCAGTTCATGATCCCAATCAAAAATTTAATAATCTCCACAACCCTACACTGTTAATATTTGTTTGTGTTTAGTTAAAAGACGTTTCGATAAAGTTACTGTGAACTAAATATAATGACCTTTGTCTGTATAACTTATGTCACAAAGTTATTACTATAGGAATATAGTTAACCCGTTTATGTTGTTGACATGAAACTATTTAATCGATAAACCAAGGAAGTGTATTATATGAATAATAGCTACACAGATACTTAGGATAATATATGGATCAAAATCGTGTGAAAATATACAAAGTATGTTTAGGTTCTAGCTACCAGTGGAATCTAGGATATGTGTTTCATCTCATTTACGACACATTTTTTGAATGTACCTGTATCCAGGTACTCATGTTATAGTGAGACTCGAACCCAATCCATGTCACGTACTTCACTATACCAGTGAGTCAACTCAAACGAACTATACTTTTGATAAGATGACTATATCGAGTTACACGGGTGTATTATATGCTAACATAGATTGAACACAACTCAGTCCTTGATATCAGCAACAGGATAACATAAAGTTCCTAAGTTCTGGTAAACATCACGTTGTAGACTCGTTTAAAGAATGATAGATAATCTTGAATGATTAAACATGCCAAAATACTTTCTTCATAGAATACATCGACAAAAATGATATACCAATTGTATTGAACTAATCCATGATTAGATTTTAATATATATATATATATATATATATATATATATATATATATATATACGGCTTACATCAAATCTCATTGAGATCTGTGAAATCAATGCTAATTTCAGGAAACAAACTAATAGTTGAGAGTAAAACGCTTTTCATGAAGCCTGAAAATTCTTCAATTAAGTAGGTCTAAGGTTTTGGTAAGTAGTACCTGTTTGATGCTCTTCAGTTTGATATATTTCTGAAGTTAATGTCAGTTAGTGATTATAACTAACTTTTAGTATAAGTTCCTATGTACAGCTACTTAGATCATTTCAATTTCTCGCATGTGTAAGTATTTTGTTTTAAAGAACTATTTCATCAAATAACTATTCCTTTAGCTTCATTAGATTTAATTTGTTTATTCTGGTTGGGATTTTATTTAGCAAGATGTGGAATCTTTCACATATCTGAGAAGCATGATCGATGAACAAGGAAGATTGCATACGGACGTAAAGGAGAGGATTGGCAAAGCAAGGACAGCATTCATACAATTGAAGAACATATGCAACTTAAAACAACTGTCTCTTAACCAACATCAAAGTCATAATCTTTAATACGAACGTCTAAACAGTCCTATTGTATGGAGTTGAAACTTGAAGAACTACCATAGCCATCATTAAGAAGGTACGTATATTTATTATAGTTTACGCAAGATATTAAGTAACTGTTGACTGTATACCATCATCAACAACATACTGTGGGAGAGAAAAAACCAGCTTCCAGTTCAAGAGAAAATCAGAAAAAAGACAATGGAAGTAGATAGGACACACATTTTGGAAATTATCAAACTGAATCATGAGGCAAGCGCTAACTTGGAATCCTGAAGGGAAACTAAAAAGAGGCAAACAAATCACAATTGATTGACCACTGGGTGGTGACCAATGTCATCCTTGTCTAGTCCTTATTATTAGTGCCGATCGAATGCTATCGACCATGTTGCAATGTGGCCACCAGTCTAGGTGACTCGACACTGCGGGCACTATTGTGAGATTAGATGGTGATTGGAGGCAAACAAAAGAACACAATACTTTGAGAATTAGAAACAGACATGAAAAGAATGAATAGCAATTGGAAAGAATTACCCAGGACACAGTTGGATAAATAATGCTAGTGGGAGGCCTATACTCCTCCATAAGGGATAACAGGCGTAAGTAAGTCAGTAACTAACTAAGTAAGTA